ATTAATGAATTTTATAGTCCACAAATTAAATTAATTTGAACAATTAATTATTATTTTTAAATATATTAAATACTTGATAGACTTCATAAATATGGACCTTATATGAATCTTCAACATCTATATAACATAGCAAGATGGTTTTTGAATTTGTCTTACACACATTTGTTCTACACACATTTGTCCTATTAGGACATTTGCATGGCTTAGATGTATTCAAATTATAAAACAACGACTAAGATATATTTTACAAAAAATATCCTACATGTACATTTTTATTTTCTCGCTTCTCTTTCTTACTTTTTCTTTTTTTCACCCATCCTTCTATGATCCCATGATCCCACATTCCTCTCTTTTTTCTTTTTATTTTTTATTTTTTCATTTTTATTTTTCTCTCTATTTGTTTGTTTTTTTTTATTTTCTCCTCTTTGTTCACTTATTTTTATTCAGAATTTGGAGCCAGATTTTTTACTCTGTGTAGTGAAGATTAAATTATTGAATTTTACAGTTCACAAATTAAAAGAATTTGAACAATTAATTATTATTTTTAAATATATTGAATACCTGATAAACTTCATAAACTTAGACATTATAAGAATTTTCAACTTCTATATAATAAAATAAGATGATTTTTGAATTTGTCCTACACACATTTGTCCTACTAGGACATTTGGACGGTTCAGGTCTATTCAAATTATAAAACAACGGCTGAGATAAATTTTAAAAAAAGTATTATACATGTACATTTTCTATTTTCCTGCTTCTCTCTCTTAGTTTTTCCTTTTCTCACCCATCCTTCCATGATCTATTATCCCACATTCCTTTCTCTTTTCTTTTTATTTTTTTATTTCTCCAATTTTTATTTTTCTCTCTATTTGTTTATTTTTTTTATTTTCTCCTTTTTGTTCACTTATTTTTATTCGTATCATATGGAAAAGTTTACGATCCCAGAATTAGGAGCCAATTTTTTTACTATGTGTAATGGAAATTAAATTAATGAATTTTATAGTCCACAAATTAAATGAATTTGAACAATTAAATATTATTTTTAAATATATTGAATATCTGATAGACTTCATAAATTTAGACCTTATATAAATCTTTAACATCTATATAATAAAGCAGGATGGTTTTTGAATTTGTCCTACACACATTTGTCCTACTAGAAAATTTGGATGACTTAGATGTATTCAAATTATAAAATAACCGCTGAGATATATTTTACAAAAAATATCTTACATATACATTTTTATTTTCCTGTTTCTCTCTTTTACTTTTTCCTTTTCTCTCTCATCCCTTCTATGATCCCATGATTCCACATTCATCTCTCTTTTCTTTTTATTTTTTTTATTTCTCCCATTTTTATTATTCTCCTTATTTGTGTATTTTTTTTTTATTTTCTCCTTTTTGTTCATTATTTTTATTCATATTATATGAAAAAGTCTACGATCCCAGAATTAGGAGTCAGATTTTTTACTGTGTGTAGTGGAGATTAAGTTAATGAATTTTATAGTCCACAAATTAAATGAATTTGAATAATTAATTATTATTTTTAAATATATTGAATACCTGATAGACTTTATAAATTTAGACTTTATATTTATCTTCAACATCTATATAATAAAGCAAGATCGTTTTTGAATATGTCCTACACATATTTGTCCTACTAGGACATTTAGACGGCTTAGATGTATTCAAATTATAAAACAACGGCTGAAACATATTTTGCAAAAAATATCCTATATGTACATTTTGTACTTTCCCGCTTCTCTCTTTTACTTTTTCATTTTCTCATCCATCATTCCGTGATCTCATGATTCCACCTTATATATTTTACACATATTTCCATACATTGTATGTATGCCCGTAATACACAAGAACATTATGGGCATACATACAATTTTCATATAATTATATAAGCAAAAACAATATTGTATGTATAACCGTGAAAATTGTATGCATGTATCACGACCCAAACCTGCCCCTATATGTTTAGTATCGTAACCGGCCAGTAATCCTTGGATTACCTAAGGCCTCTTGGCATAAAGACATGTAGTAGGGGCTGCAGAAGCAATTAATCAATACATATGTAGTCCATAGAACTGTGCAGACATACATGGGGCAGATAACTTAAATCTTTTCATAACAATAATGCAAACTTTACACGTCACTTCCAGATACACATTACTAGACGCCTTGTCCAAACACAACATAATATAAACATAGCCTAACATGATTGCAAAAACAACCATGAAACTAGACTTCAATCGGAAACTCCTCGGGAGGCAGAATGGTTGGCTGACAAAACTGAAGTGTAGGCCATCAACTCTGGGCCTGATCTCGTGCTTGCTCACCTACATACATAATATAAATAGCGAGTTAAAGCCCAGTAAATAATAACAGAGTAAAGACTTTAATGAATGATGCCCATAACATATCTCAAATCTCATAACAGAGCAGAATCATCATCATGTCCATATTAAAATCACGTGTGGTACATCCCTTAGCACAAACATATCTCTTGGGTCAAGCTTATCAAGTTCCATGAAGGAACCTCCGGTACCGGGTAACATATCTCATACATCGGCCACGGTATTATTTCCCTTGGGCGAGGGCCTGTGCCACGATATTGTTTCCCCCGAGCGAGGGCCTGGGCCACGGTATTCTTTTCCCCAGGCGAGGGCTTCATGACCATAAGTCACAGTATTATGTCCCCTGGGCGAGGGCCTCGGCTAAGGATACCACAATTATGTTTCAAAGAAAATTGAACAATCATTCATTCATACAAAACATAGCATTTTAGAAACTTATCATTTCACATCATTAGAAAATAATTAAAGTTAAACATAACTTTACAGAGTTATTACTCACAAATAATAGGCGTTGTAAGTAGGCAATTCAGCTTCCTTGTGGCGCTAGACCTACACGAACATATATACAAATACACACTTGAAACACTTGTTCGAATTATTCATAACTTGCTTTATTTGTTCTAGGCGTGTTTCTAGTCTTTATCCTCATTATAGTGCCTCAAACATGGCCTACGATGGAAAGAGGATGCAAAAATGCACTTAGAAACATTTCTCAAATTTTGCTGAAAATAGGGTTCACTTGAGCGGACATGCAAGATGTGAAGGCTTGCTCGAGCGTGGCTTTCCCCGCTCGAGCGGACTGTAAAACTAGACAAAAATACTGGATGCATGATTTTCACGCTCGACTCACGCTTGATCCCCGCTCGAGCGTGAGACTCAAATTCTCACTCGAACGTGAATTCCCCCACTCGAGCAGACTACAAAACATATGAACTTCTGGATATATGCATTTCACGCTCGAGCGTGATTCACGCCGCTCGAGCGGAAGTGCATGTACTCAGAGTGCGCGCTCAAGCGTGAAGTTCCCCGCTCGAGCATGGATCAAATTTCTGGAATTCCCAGATTTGATCCACAAATTCAAATCCAACCTTCAAGCCTTCAAACTCTATTTTTCTGGGCCAAAATTTTGGAAAGCTCATAAAGACTCATAAAATAACATGTTTCAAGGATCAATTCAAGAAATCATGGCCCAAAAGTTTGCCAATTGAACAAAATTTAACATGAACTCAAGGATTTTTTATGAACATGACATGCATGGACTTCCTTGGAGCCCAACACTTCAAAACATGATCAAACATGATGATTTGATGGAAAACATGGTAAACTCTCAAAATGTAAATGAGATGAGCACATGCATGAAAGTTTTCTTGACAATTAAACTCAAAACATGGGAATTTAAGCATGCATGCATGGAACAATTTGCCTTCCTTCAATCCTAGCCCAAACCTTACATGAATTCATTTAATTATTTGGAGTCTAGCAAAAATCTAGTTCAATTACACAACCAAGAGCTTGATGCCTTACCTAGTGACTTGAACTCACAACGGTTGAAGTTAGAGTTTTGTAATTCTTCTTAATTCACCAACAATCCTAGAAATTCCAAGGTTTGAATCCAATTTCCTTCTCACTCTCCTCTCTCCCACGTTTGTGTATGTGTGAGGATCTCAAATGTGATTAACCATCAAGAAAAGAGTTCAGTGGGGTCTAAATGGAGCCTTATATAGGCTTCATTAGAGTTGATTTAATAAGACTAATCAAATGGGTATTAAATTGATCCAATTTAATCGTTCCAAATCGAATTTCAATTGAACCTACTACAAAATTCTAAAAATTGTAAATAGCACGTAAATCGAGTCAATTTCTGTATCGGATGCCGATAAGGCCCTCAATTTGCAAACCGAAACGAAAATAAGGATAGATCTTCCTACGCTGGACAAATAAAACACAAAAATAATGCAATGGATATGTAATTAACTCATGATCTCTTCTTAATTACTTGTTAAGCACACTTAAACATGAATTAACATTAAGTGTAACGACCCCATCACGTATAATGATTGGTACTTGATTAATTAAGAGGATTTGAAACTTAATTGCCGAGTATTATAATTTAATTTGGGATTTATGAGAATTGTGGAATCTGACTTGTATATGATTCTATTAAAGATTTATTTTGGAATTAGAAATTAAATATCCAATTCAGTTTAGTAAAATTGAGGTTCGATTAATTAGATCCTAATTGGAGTTAATTAAGCTAATTAAATTATGAAGATTGAGAATTGTGATTATTGTGAATTAAATTCATTTAGGTAGAGCCTTTTGGGAGTTGATTAAAAATCTGATTCAGAATGATAAATTTAAATATAATTAATTGGGCCTTATGGAAGTCAAATTAGACTAATTAAATCATGTAGGAAATTGTAATTAGTTATGATTAATTAACTTATGTGCTAATTAAGATTAATTAAGATTAAGTGATGTTTAATTAAACTAAGGTGTGATTAGTGTGCTAAACTAATGATACATGAGTTCATATTACATGGACAAGTGTCCCACTAATGAAAAAAAAAATAAAATAATAAGAGATGGCAATTGAAATCAAAATGGTGCCTTTCACTCTGCTGGAAGCAGAGTTAGAAAAGAGAAAGGAAGAGAGAGCTCGGCTGAGAGGGGGAAACCGGGAGGAAGGAGAGAAAAAAAAAAGGGAGGGGGGGGGGAAGAAGGAAGCCTTGTGGAATACCAAGATTCAAGCTTAAAATTGTGGAAAATTCATCTTCAAGTAAGAAATTTCATCCTCTTCTTAGTATTGTTTAAATAATCTAGACATAAATTGATTTAAGATGAATTTTGAGAGGATTAAAAATGAAGATTTGAGGATCAATTATATAAATTGATGAAAATTGGGTTTTGCATGTAAAAATAGTTAGCTTAAAGATTATGAGTTATGATTCTTTAAATTTGTTAAGTTTGAGTTTAATTTTGAGAATCATTCTTGAATTGTGTTATAAAAATTACATGCAACAATGATGTATTGAAGATTTAATCCATGCAATGGAATTAGGTTCAAATTTATTGAAATCAACTCAGAAATTAATTATTTTGGGTTTGATTTTGCATGTGTTATATGAATTTGAGTCTTGTTTTTTACATGCATGTGATTTGGTGAAATTAAAGAATTAATTCATGAACATGGTTAAGGTTAATCAATATGGAAATAATTATAATTCTTCAATTGAGCTTGGATTTGGAAACCTTGGTATATATGAGAAGTAAATTTACATACATCATGAATTGAGAAAGTTATGAAATTAGTCTCATGGATTTTGAAGAAATTGAACCATTTAAGTTCACATTTTGAAGAGAAAAAGGAAATGTTTTATGAACATCAAGTTTATGGAAATTTAGAATTAATCCTAACGTTGGATAAAGTTTTTGATTTTATAATTAGATTCGTTTAATCCATGCAAGTAATGCAATTTAAGATTTTATTATTTAAATTAATCATATTTTGGAACACTTATGATTATGAATTAAATTGAGGTTATAAATTAAGTTAAGTTTAAGATTATGGAAATTAGTTAGAAAATTTATAAGAATATAAAATTAGTAATTTTGATGTCAATTTCATACATGTGAATAATTTTCTAAGGAATTTATGACTTTAATTTCCTGCTTTGAAGGAAAATAGAAAGAGCTTGAAGTCAATTTTATGTAACTAAAAAGAAAATGAGAGATTGGAGCCATATTCAATTTATGGAGATTAATTTAGAGGTTAATCACTTTGGGTTTGGAATTTGGCTTGATATGGAGAAAATGAATTAAAACTAAATTTGGCAATTGGAGCATGATTTTGAATAAATGATTTTTAATTGAGAGTGTTTAACTAAATTATACAATGATTCTCCATGTTTGTATACTAAAGTACATGTTTTGAGGGTTTGAATACCAAATTTGAACTTCAATTGCAATTTTGGAATTTCAGAATTTACATTGTCCGCTCAAGCGAGGAAAGTCTCGCTCTAGCATGAAAATCGAGCTCCTAGTAGTTTTTCAAATTTTGCAGTCCGCTCGAGTGACCAAAGAGGCGCTCGAGCGGAGACCCATTTTCAGCATATTTTGGAAAGTTGCATTTAGTTCACATTTTTATTCTCATCTCTTTCTAAAGCATTCTAGACGTGATTTATGACTCAATAAAGATGAATGAGCTACCAATCAACGTAGATTAGTTAGTTAAAGAATGAATCATTGCTCTAGTGGTAATTGTTTAGGAAGCCAAGTAAAGGATCAATCTATTTGGAAATGAATGACTTAATAATGAAAGAATATGTGAAATAAGAACCCGGTTTATTTAAATGAGAAAGAATAAGCGTAGTAGAATTTCGGACTATTTAGACGGAAAAAGAGAAGAAAAGTCAAGTTTGATCAAGGAAGTAATATTGTATTTCAATGTGTATATGTTATGTGCTTGTGTAGGTCACGCGCTATTGCCTGCCTGATTGTGATCTGTCTGATCTGCTTCTGCAACTATCTGTGAGTAATAACTTTGTAAAATTATGTTCAATGTTAAATGTTTTCTGAACTTTATGACATAAAATGATTAGTCTTCTGAAATGCTACGCTATGTTTTGAATGAATGAATGATTGTCCAAGATTCTGAAAGTTATGCGTGGCATCCTTAGCTTCATATGATATGTGTTCCTTCATGGGTCATCAGGTCTCTTTATGGGTCATTAGGTCCCTCATGGGTCATCAGAAACGTCTCTGTGCACATGAGTCATCGGAATGCCTTTAAGGTCGTCCCTTTATGGGTCATCGGATTTGTTAACGCTAATGGATGTACCACGTATGATTATATGCGAAATCTGAATATGGAAATGATTATGAGTATGTATATGAATCTGTTTCTGATTTGGAATCTGAATATGTGTAAGACTCTATTTCTGATAAGAATTTGATTTCTAACTCTGTGATGGACATCATTCATTAAATCCTTTACTCTGTTATTATTCACTGGGCCCTAGCTCATTGTTTATATATATGTATGTAGGTGATCAGGCGCATGACCAAGCTTGGAGGCGTCTGCCTGGAATCAGTTCTTGACAGCCAACCTATGTGCCTCCCGTGGAGGTTCCGGTCATGACTAGTGGTTATGGCTAAGTACATAAGTTGAAGTTTTATTTTCCTGTCCAGCTAGACAAGTCCTTGTGTATTGTGTGAATAAGGCTAAGTCCCTTTTGTCTAGCTTATATGTGCATATATATGATGATGTGTATATAAGTATATAAAAGGTTAAAATTTTTTTGTCTCATATAAGTCTGCACAGCTCAATGGACGATGTATATTTGTTGTTTGCTTCCGCTAACCCCTAATATTACGTTAATTTGACTCAGAGGCCTTCGGTAATCCCAGGATTACTGGCCGGTTACGATGCTAAACCTATAGGGGCGGGTTTGGGTCGTGACATTAAGGGTCAGGGTTGTTACAGTATGCTAGGCACATCTATCTATCTAGCTATATATTATATAAGTAAAAACGAGTTTTCGTGAGGAGTTTTTTAAGAACTCCAAAATTTTATAATAAATTTGTGCTTTTATCAAATTAAAAAAAAAATTTAAATAGTGTTGGGATTACAATTATATTCTAATCCTAATATTATTTACATCGTGCCTTCAGGCACGGGCATACGGTAGTCTATATAATAAATCAGGATGGGTTTTGAATTTGTCCTACACACATTTGTCTTAGTAGGACATTTGAACGACTTAGATCTATTCAAATTATAAAACAACGGCTGAGATATATTTTGTAAAAAAAATATCCTACATGTATATTTTCTATTTTTTTGCTTCTCTCTCTTACTTTTTCCTTTTCTAACCCATCATTCTATGATTCCATGATCTCACATTCCTCTCTCTTTTCTTTTTATTTTTTTTTATTTCTCCCATTTTTTTTTCTTTCGATTTGTTTATTTTTTTTTATTTTCTCCTTTTTGTTCACTTATTTTTATTCATATTATTTGGAAAAGTCTACGATCCCAGAATTAGGAGCCAGATTTTTCACTGTATGTAGTGAAGATTAAATTAATGAATTTTATAGTTCACAAATTAAAATGAATTTGAACAATTAATTATTCTTTTTAAATATATTGAATACCTGATAGACTTTATAAATTTAGACCTTATATGAATCTTCAACATCTATATAATAAAGCATGATGGTTTTTGAATTTGTCCTACACACATTTGTCTTACTAGGACATTTGGACGGCTTAGATGTATTCAAATTATAAAACAACGACTGAGATATATTTTGCAATAAATATCATACATGTACATTTTTATTTTTGGGCAAATTACATATACACCCCTCGAGTTTTGGCTAAATTACAGATGCCCCCCTGAGGTTTGAGAAATTACGAATTCCCCCCTGAATGCTATATTTGCATAAGAAATTAGGGGGTAATTTGTTATGAAATATAAACCTCAGGGGGCAAATTGTTATGAAAATACAAACCTCAGGGGGCGGGATGTAATTTCTGAAACCTCAGGGGGTATCTGTAATTTAGCCAAACCTCGAGGGGTGTATATGTAATTTGCCCTTTATTTTTCCTTTTTTTCTCTTACTTTTTCATTTTCTTACCCATCCTTCCATGATCCCACATTCCTCTCTCTTTTCTTTTTATTTTTTTTATTTCTCCCATTTTTATTATTCTCTCTATTTGTGTATTTTTTTTATTTTCTCATTTTTTTTCATTATTTTTATTCATATTATATGGAAAAGTCTACGATCCCATAATTAGGAGCCATATTTTTTACTGCGTGTAGTGGAGATTAGATTAATGAATTTTATAGTCCATAAATTAAATGAATTTGAATAATTATTTATTATTTTTAAATATATTGAATACCTGATACACTTTATAAATTTAGACTTTATATTTATCTTCAACAGCTATATAATAAAGCAAGATCGTTTTTGAATTTGTCCTACACATATTTGTCCTAGTAGGACATTTGGACGGCTTAAATGTATTCAAATTATAAAATAATGGCTGAGATATATTTTACAAAAATATCCTACATGTACATTTTGTACTTTCCTGCTTCTCTCTCTTACTTTTTCATTTTCTTACCCATCCTTCCGTGATCTCATGATTCCACCTTATATATTTTACACATATTTTCATACATTGTATGTATACCCGTAATACACTAGGACATTATGGGCATACATACAATTTTTATATAATTATACAAGCAAAAGCAATATTGTATGAATGCTCGTAAAAATTGTATGTATGCCAGGCACATCTATCTATCTAGCTATATATTGTATAAGTAAAAGCGAGTTTTTGTGAGGAGTTTTGTAAGAACTCCAAAATTTTATGATAAATTTGTGCTTTTATCAAATTAAAAAATAAATTTAAATAGTATTGAGATTACAATTATATTTTAATCCTAATATCATTTACATCGTGTCTTTATACTACAAGAAAATGCATTTTTGCCGACCATTTTTGGCTACCAAAAACAATTTAGTCGCCAAAAGTCACGGAATTGGCTACCAAAAATAATATTAGTCAGCAAAAGTCAACTTTTTAGCTACTAGTTTTTTTTTAGTAGGGGAATGTTGATTATTGGCGACTAAAAAAAAATTTAGTAGCTAAAAATATTGCAATTGGTGACTAAAAAATTTTTTAGTAGCTAAACCTATCACAATTGGCGACTAAAAGAAAATTTAGTAGCAGTAGAGGTACCTTTAGCTACTAAATTGTTTGGTAGCCGAATGAAAATAAAAAATTTAATTTTTAATCTTTGCCGACCAAAATTTTGGTCGCCAAATGTTATGTTTCGGTGACAAAATTCCTTTTAGTCGCTGTAGACCTACTTTTGGCTACTAAATTGTTTGGTAGCCGAATGAAAATAAAAAATTTAATTTTTAATCTTTGCCGACCAAAATTTTGGTCGCCAAATGTTATGTTTCGGTGACAAAATTCCTTTTAGTCGCTGTAGACCTACTTTTGGCTACTAAATTGTTTAGTAGCCGAATGAAAATAAAAAATTTAATTTTTAATCTTTGCCGACCAAAATTTTGGTCGCCAAATGTTCTGTTTCGGCGACAAAATTCCTTTTAGTCGCTATAGACCTACTTTTGGCTACTAAATTGTTTGGTAGCCGAATGAAAATAAAAAATTTAATTTTTAATCTTCGCCTACCAAAATTTTGGTCACCAAATGTTCTGTTTCGGTGACAAAATTCCTTTTAGTCACTATAGACATACTTTTGGCTACTAAATTTTTTGGTAGCCGAATGAAAATAAAAAAATTAACAAAATAGTTATTTTATTTTATTAACAACAATACCATTAGTCTCCACTTGAAAATTTGACTAAACAAAATAGTTATTTTATTTTATTTGATGTTTTTTTATTTTTATTTTTATGAAGAGGTTGTACACCCACCATCCAAAAATATTCACTGTGTTTGGTTTGAGTTTTTTGGATTAAGTTTTTTCAAAACTAAGTTTTTTGGTTTTCGTATTTTTTTGTTTTTAGTGAATATTTTTAACAATTTAATTTTTTACTTTTTTAGATGCACCTTACTTAGATGTATCTACAAAGTAAAAAAATTGTGAAAAAATATTTTAAAAAATTAATAAATACATAAAAATATAAAAAATGTACATAATTTTCGTATTTTTTTTTTGTATTTTTAGTATTTAGTGAATTTTTAAAAGGTTTTTTTCACAATTTTTTTACTTTTTAGGTATAATTATGTTAGGCATGTCTAAAAAGTAAAAAAAATTCTTAAAATATTAAAAAAATTCAGTAAAAACAAAAAAATACGAAAAATAAGAAAGTAGAATTTTTTAAAAACTGTTTTTAGAAAAATGGAACCAAGCATAGTGATTAATATCTTATTTTATTTTTTATTATCTCAAAATATTAATTTTTTTTAAAAATTAATTATTAAAATAATATGAATTTCTTATTTTGTTCTTTTTTAAAATCTATATAATAAGACATAATAGATTTTGAAAATGTATAAAATGTATGTGAGATACATTTGATATTAATGGTACAGATCTTTCTGAACAAAAATAAACGGCTGAGATGAATTTTTTTCCCGCCCGTTTCTCTGTCTCCCCTCTTTCATCTCTGCTCCCCTCTTTCATCCATCCTCTTTCATACGCTCATCTCTCTCTACCTGTCCTCCCACGACGACACTGCCACTCACCGACTACCGACCACCTCTCCTCACCCCTTGCTGTCCTTTCTTCTCTCGACCACCGACTCTCTTTTCTCACCCTCCTCCTTCGCTGACGCCCTGTCCCGTCGCCGCCGACAACGAAGCTGTTCTTCAACGAAGCTGTTCTTCATAAGGTAAAAAGCCCCAATAATACATTTGAAGAAAGTTAGAAGGTTGTTAACAAGTTGAATTTGTTAAATTTTTCAACAAATTTGTTGAATTTGTTAAAAAGCCCCAATAATAGATTTAATATAATTTTGATGTTTTTCATGATAGTGTTTTGATCAACATGAAATTTTTAGTTGAAGTTTTTGTGCACGTGGATTTTTCTGTGATGAGTTGTGTGATGTAAATTTTTTAGTCAGTGAGTTCTTAGTTATGTGATTAGATTGGTTCATGTTGGAAAGTAGAGGGTTAAATTTGTTTCTTTTTTGCTGTGTTTGGATCATGTATGTATTTGGGTAGGGTTTTGGAAAGGGAAAGATAAATTTCGAAAGACAATATGAATAAAATATAATTTTTTTATTTTCCTCTCCCTCCATTCTAATCCATGATTCAAGTATTTTTCTCATTTAGTCTTTTGGATTTTTAGTAACTAATTTGTATTGTTGTGTGCCTGAATTGATTTTTGACAGAAGATTGTAATAGTAGAGAGATAGTTACATTATTTTTTGGGTAATGCTACTCATACTATCTTTTTTCTACTCTACGTTTGTAAAATACACGAGTATACATGGTAATCCAAATGTGTTATAAAAGTGTGTTGTAGGGTAAATTACAAATACATTCCCTATTTTTGACTCACTCAAATTTTGGAAAATACATTCTACTTCTTAAGATTTCAAATCACATAACAACAGTTAGTGAACTATTAACGAATTTTGCTAATGACAATTGTTAATTTTATTTTTTATTTTTTTAAATTTCAATTTAACCCTCAATAGAACACATAGTCCTCTATGTATATTTTTATATCCACAAACCAACCACCACCAACTCTCTCTCTCTCTTATTGATGCCGGCAACTAGGGGTGGCATTGAGTCAATTTGCTTTTAATCCATGT